TGACACGATTTCATTAAATTAGGACGGCAGGACTATCCATTTAAAAATAATAATAGCAATCATCTTGTTCCAATAATGTTAACCTTGTTAAAATTCAATTTTGTCCTATGATTTTAACTTAGTTAAAATCAGATCTTAATTTTAATTCTTGTAACTTAATTTCTATAGTTTCACCTATTTAAACTATTGGTCCTTACTATTTTTTTAAAAAAAATTATAAATAATAAAGTTAGTATTAAAATTCAAAGACTAATATTTTAAATATTTAAAATATAAGAACTGAGTTGTACTAAATTAAAGTTTAGAATTGAATTTAAACCTAGTCAGACTATAGAGACTCAACTATATCGAGTTAAAGTTTAAAATTAAGGATTAAATTATAATTAAATCCATTGAATTATAATTGAATTTATCAAAATATAAGGACCAAATGATTAGTTTTTTTAAAAAAAGATTTGATTCATAATAACATATTAAAATTCGTATAGGTCTCGTGATTAAAGAGAAATTATAAAATATTTATATATTACTAATTATTAATATTCTCATGTCTGCAGCAAGAAAAATTGAATATGCTTTATTACTACTGCATTTTATATTTATTAAAGGGTCAATAAATGTTTAAGATCATAACCTCATTTTTTATACAGATTTTTTTTAACTTTTAAAAATGGTATAATTTTATTATTACTATTAACAAAAGTTAATGTTGACTATTAGCTATTAAAAAAATTAAAAAACATTAAAAATTACAAAAAGAATGCAAAATTTACACACAATAACCAAAAAAATTATATAAAAGGATAAAGAAAATTTTCTCTTGATCATTTTCTTTAACTTTCGATGTCATTTTATATTATTTTCTTATCAACTAATGATAGGATTATTAGAGTATAAAAAGAAGTCCAATATTTAAAGATTAGAAAATAAATCATGATATATAAAGTTTAAAAAGTATTTAACCAAATGGCTTAAACTATTTTGATAAAATATATTATCTTTAAACATACTTAATATAATAAATCTAACAAGGATCAAAATATATTGTTTTCAAGAGTTAAAGAAAAATATTTGAGTTTAAGATTTTAAATGTTTTTGGATCCATAGATTAAAAGCCAATTTGTTTGTTTGTCTTTTTGTTGTTAAATGATTGATTTTTCCCCTCTCCGTTTCTCTCATGAATCTCAAGAAAACACATAGAAATATCATATTTTATTAGCACAGTCACAGGGAACACTGAGAACGAGCACATCAACTAAGTTGCTAGCTACCCAGCTCATTGTTATATAGGTTATGTACGTTACAGAAAAATGAAGAAGCAAACAAAACCCAACTTCTAATTCTTTATAAAAGAAATTACACTTTATTTTTTTTTAAAGGTTTGAGTATCAATTTTGTGTGTAGACGAGATAATGGACCTGTTTATTCAAGATTAAAAAATAAATAATTTTTATATAGTTTAAAGATTTTATAAAAAGAGATTTATTTTGTAAATATTTTATAAAAAAATAGATATTATTTTATGTTTAGTTGCAATAATTAAAAAGTAATTATCAGTTAGTTATTTTTAAATTTTATGATATCCTTCTTGCCTTTTGTTTTATAAAAAATAATTGATTATTATATTATTTTAAAATTTCATGATATCTTCACGTATCACATCTTTTTTAAACGCTCTCTTTCATCTATTATATTAAATTATTTTAAGAAATTACCTAATCAAATATCTATTTCTTTATCCTGATTATTTTTAAAAATTTAAACAAATATTGTAGAAATTTACAAAATATATTTTTTAAAATAAATAATTTTTTTATGAAATAAGTTAAAACAAACGGTGCAATATAGTTAATTTTCAAAAACTATACCAAAATCCAAAGTTGATGCACTCGCTTTCTTTGACCAAATGATACACTCACTTCAACAAGTGAAAAACTTCCAAAGAGTAAAAACTTGCTCTTATAAAGTGGGGCAGACGGTCAAAAGGTCTCAAATTTCTCATGTCGCCTCGATATTGTTTTTTTGGGATGGTATACGATTTCTCAAAAGGCCCAATCATTTTTGAATTGGGCCGAACCATCCTATTGTGGGCTCGTATCATTGTGAATTAAACAAAGGTCCATTTCATCAATTCAATAATATTTGATAATCACTTTGAGACTTCTATTGTTGATATGCTTAAAAATATTTAATCTAAAAACATATTTATTTACTAGTTTATTTTCTTCTAAAGTAGTGTTTGATTGGAGGGAAGAGGAGATGAGGGATTTTGCTCCCCTCTCCTTGTTTGGTTTGGAAAAGGAGAGGGGACTCCCCTCCAAGTTGGAGGGATTGGGAGAGGAGAGTATGATTTTGTTACACAATGACTAATATACCCTTTCTTTCAATTGTTACTTTTAATTTTTTTTTAAACAAACTTAGCAATAATAGATTTTTAATAATATATTTAACAATAATAATTACTCTATATATTTATAATTACATGTTAAAAACATTTATAATTATATGTCATTAGAAAAATAATTTTAATAATATAAGGGTAAAACTGTCTATATATAATTATTTTTCTCTTCCCCCTTTCTGAACCAAACAAGATAACGTTAAAACCCCTCCCATTCCCTTCTCTCCTTTTCATTAAAATTCCTCCCCTTCCCTCAAACCAAACAGGTCTTAAAGTTAACGATGAGTTTGCATATTGTCCTTGTAATGGTTAAAAAAAATCTTATCATGAAATAATAGTTTAACATGATTATATTTAAGGAAATAATTTTAATAGCATCAACAATGAAATTATTATATACTACTTATTGCAAACCAAAAAAAGTAGAGAATAATTGTAAAATATGTAATTAAAAATTTAAATTATTATCTTACCAAAAAAAATTAAATTATTATTTTTTAGCTTTTAATTTTAAAAAATACATTGCGCCCCTAACCTAGGATCTTGCTTTGCCATTGTTGAGTTGTCATTAGACCCACCTTATTGTTAATTAAATAAAAATAATCTCTTAATTTCATGAATATACCAAACATATTTTTCAACATTATAACCATCTATATTTTCATATCAATATCGACTTCCATAATTAATTCCATTTCTATCAAAACTATTTCTATCATATCAAACAAGGCATAAAAACCTTAACATTTATTTATTAGATTGTAAGTCATCTTTGCTATTGATAGGGCTTAATTTTACTTTTTCACATGGATGAATCTTACAAATGAAATGAGTTTTATAATTCGAAGGAATTTATTTACTCAATAGACCAGTTCTTGTTTTGAAATGATATCTTCTTTTAAACTTTTACTCTTCACACTTTTGTATGACTTGTAAATGATAAATTTATGTTACATGGTGAAAAGATGTCAGATTGAGTAGTGTTGTTGTATTGGTAGATAAAAAAAAAAGCACAAAAAATAATGCTGAAAATAGTATACATTTAGGCAAATTGCTTTTTTTTTTTTAATGTAAAGCCAGGAAAAACCATATAGAGAGGTTAAAATTTAGTCATGTTTAAAATAAAAAAGTTTCTATAGTCAAGGGTGGGTTTTTAAAAATTGTAATATCAAAATTATCATATGATGTTCGATGAGCTAAAAAATCATCACATCTAATTGCCTCTCTATGTGTGTGGTTAAAATTGACAACTCAATCCCTCACAATGAGAGTATGTGCAATCAATGAGTAATAAGACTTTTATCAAATCTCAGTGAAAGTTATTGCTTGTTTGTATTCTAGTTCAAAATCAATTAATTGTACAGAAATCACATTTTGACAAACATTATCCAAACACCTATGTTACATGTTAAAATCAATTATAAATATAAAATCATGTTTTCTTAAAATTATCCAAACAGTTATTATATATGCTAAAATCAATTATGAAATCAAAACTATAGTTTTATTAAAAAATCCAAACGCCTCTTGTAATTTCAAAATTAATTATGAACCAAAAATATGATAAGTAAAATAATTTATATAATTTTTGGATAAATTTTTAGAATTGTATAATTAAAAAATTGAATTAAAAAGAAGGTAGTAATAGTTTATGAGATAACCGTGGTTTTGAATTCATAATTAATTTTAACATTTATAAAGTTGTTTGGATATTTTTAAAAAAGACTATGATTTTGAGTTCATAATTGATTTTGGCATGTATAATGAGTGTTTGGATATTTTTTTTTTTGAAAATATGGTTTTATATTCATAATTAATTTTAATATGTAACATAAATATTTAGATATATTTTTACAAAACTATGATTTTACCTTATTTTCAGTTCTAATTAAAATAAATCTTATTAATTAATTTTATAAATTAATTATATACTACATAACATAATCAATTATATATCCAAATCAATCATATTAATTAATTTTTTCATAATCAATTATACTAAACTAAAATTCAAACACACCCTTAATTTTGGACAATTACGCATTCTCACAAAAGTTAAATCTTTTAAAAACTCCCATAAGATCAACTATTATGCTAAAATAATAATTAAGATATTTGAAAAATTTTTAATTTAATTTCTTTTATCATCTCTGATGATGCCTTCATAAGTAGCAGCATCATTAGTGTTAACTGAGTTGTTAATATTGAGGCTAACCTATCTAAATTTAAAGGCTTTTATTTAATATCATATCTGATGTCTCTTTGACTTAAGTGGTTGATTTTGCATAAAAATTTTAGATTATTAATTATCTATTGAGTATTAGAAAAGGTAATATGGTTATCTAGGATCTCATCTTCATGGTATATTTTTTTATATTTAACTTTCCAAATATTTTAGTAAGTTAGGGCAAAAAGCCTCAGCAAGGCATTAAGTATATTGGCTTACACACCCTTAACCCTTCCTTAATGCTTGTCTCATTATTTTTCCTTCCTACGAAATATTCCTCCACTGTAAAATATTAAAGTGAAAATATCTATACACCTGTGCAGCTCATGAGAGCTCAAAAAGAACTGAACGCACAGGATCACCTCCTCATAAACCCTTTTGCTTCTCGAGGTTCTCACAGCCTTTCTTCATGCTCCATTGCAATAAACCCTATCCTGTTTTAGCCCCTTTGCTTCCATTAACCCCATAAACCCTTAACTAGGGTTCTCTCTTCATCTATCTACCAATCCCATTCCTCTCTCCCTTCCTTCGATATCCGAAGCCACCATGATCAGAACAATTTTTAGAAGATCTCGTTCCTTAGTCTCAAGGCGCGCTTTCGCCGCCTCCACGTTGATCGAGTATCAGCATCACCTCACTTCATCAGACGCTGGGTATGGTGGGGTTGCTGGTAATGACCTTCGGCCATTCTCCAACTTGTTTGGTTTTGGTGGGTTCAAGTCATGCGCATTTCATTCCCCTGCGGGGCCGTTGAATTTCCGGGCGTCATTGGTTCCTCGTGCCCAGTACGCTGTCGATGATTACTCTTTCGAAGAAGGGCCCAAGGGAAACAATGATGATGGCCTTGATATATCGAAGCTCGGTATTTCTGAGGATATCGTGTCTGCTTTGGCCAAGAGAGGTATAACGAAGCTCTTCCCTATACAGGTACGTTTTAATTGCTTAAACATTTGGTCGAGCGACAATTTCGGTCATTTTCTTGTTATTCATTTAGGAGATATGCTATAGCAAGCTGTATAATTGTCTGTTGTCATCCAACTATATTATTTCTCTGTTGAAATTATTTATCAGTCGCAGCTCCTATTAAGCGAACAGTGGTTAATAAGCTCATCTTATTATGTAGAGAGCTGTTCTTGAACCTGCCATGCAAGGTCGTGATATGATTGGTCGAGCTAGAACGGGAACTGGGAAAACTCTCGCATTTGGGATACCTATCTTGGACAAGATCATTCAGTATAATGCTAAGCATGGGTTGGTTTACTCAAGAAAACTTATCTTGCTGTTTCTCTATTGTTTTTCTGTTTGAAGTTGGATAAGGCAATGTACGAGGCAGGGCTGCTGAGTTATGGGTGGTTGGAGATTTTGATTCATTTTAACTATGCATGTTTTTATGTCTGGTGATGCAGACGAGGAAGGGATCCTCTTGCTTTGGTTTTGGCACCAACTAGAGAACTTGCTCGGCAGGTTGAAAAGGAGTTCTATGAGTCAGCACCTAATTTGGATACAATTTGTGTTTATGGAGGAACACCCATTTCGCGTCAAATGAGGCAGCTAGACTATGGTGTTGATGTTGCAGTAGGCACACCAGGTCGAATTATCGACCTTCTTAACAGAGGTGCTCTAAATTTGAAGGACGTTCAGTTTGTTGTTCTTGATGAAGCTGATCAGATGCTTCAAGTTGGCTTTCAGGAAGATGTTGAAAAAATCTTGGAGAGGTTGCCTCCCAAACGCCAAACGCTTATGTTCTCAGCAACAATGCCTTCTTGGATAAAGCAGATTTCTCGCAACTACTTAAATAATCCAATAACCATTGATCTTGTGAGTATGCAATTCTGTTGTTGGCTCCTGGAGTAAGACTTACATCACTTCTACTATTCCAATTTGCCAAGTTCATTTAGCTGATTGGGCTTATGCTTTTCTTGGCTTCTGCTTCTGTATTTTTGTAACGCGTCTATACTATAGACCCTGTCTCTTTTCCCTTCTTCCGTGATAAAAAGTAACCCAGTGAAGTTTCTAGACTGTAAAGCTGTAGGATATACAAACTGCAGTAACTTGTACTTGTCGGGCAAAAGTTTTATGAGTTATTATATTATATATAAAAAGTAACCCAGTGAGTTATTATATTGTAATGCTATGCTGTGCATGCATGTATATGTTGCTTTCAGTCCATTCGTTCTCATTCTTGATTGAATTGTAAGCTTCAATGTTTGTGTTCAGCGATCAGCATGCATGATTTTATAATTCTTATGATTGGTTGGTTCAAAGGTTAATTATAGACTTGTTGATGCTGTAGGTTGGAGATTCTGATCAGAAGTTGGCTGATGGAATTACATTATACTCAATTGCCTCAGATATGTATGGAAAAGCAGGAATTATTGAAACCCTAGTAACTGTATGATTCTTGATACTATTATTTCCCAACTTTATAATTATTGGTTACTACCATTGTTATTTTGTTTGATCTAACTCATTTAACTCTTAATTTTATTATACTTTAATTGTTTCTTAAAATTATTGCATTCTAGTGTTCCTGAACATATCTTCCAGGATAAAAGGTAGAAAATGAATCAGATGATTAGATTTTCCATTTTTTCTGTCCTGAACATCTCGCTTCCTCAGGAACACGCTAAAGGAGGAAAGTGTATTGTTTTCACCCAAACCAAACGTGATGCTGATCGACTATCATATTCTATGTCAAGAAGCCTTAGATGTGAGGCCTTGCATGGAGATATTTCACAAGCTCAGAGGGAAAGAACTCTTTCTGGCTTTAGAGAAGGCCATTTCAACGTTTTAGTGGCAACTGATGTTGCCTCACGCGGTCTTGATATACCGAATGTTGACCTTGTGAGTTCTCTCTTAGTTCTAGTTATTACCTCTTGATTGAGGTACTCTGGATGATGTTGTAATTTCTATATATGATGTTTCCCCTTGGTTTTTAACTTTGCTTCTTAAAATATGATAGTTTAATATATATGGCAATGTGCTTGGCATGGTGTTTAGGGGAAGAGGCTGGCTCTGGGGAAAAAGGGGAGCCCAGTCAACGTTGAAAATGCTCTTGTCCAGTTGGGGGACAATTTTCCAAAACGTTTGGTGACAAGGGAAATGATAGGATGGGAGACGTGCCCTGTTTGAAGAGTTTTTTTATTGGGGATGTAGTGAGGGTGATGAATCTAATAAGCTTTATCTGCTTGCTTCTAATTATTTTCCCTCCTAAACAAACAGAGGAATTCAGCTTTATGTACATTTGATGACTGTTGCCTCCAATTTATGAAATTGCCTAGCACGTTTTGTTATTTATCAAGTGGGATCATAATTTTCCTATGGATTCCATGGAAAGTAGTTCGTTTTATGAAACTCGTGGATCATCTTTAAAAATGCTTACTTTTTCTTCTCTGAAAATATTAGAAGGTGCATATTAGAGATTTTCAGGATGTGAAAGAAATCATTAAATTAAAAGAACACATACCGTGCAAGTTCTGAAAGTATCTTCACCTGTAGACTTGGATTTTACTTTACATATTCCTATGGGCTTAGTATATGGTGATATAAATTTAAAGCTGCTTCTTTGTTGTTTTTTTCCCACTCTTTATGACGCTTAACTTATTTGAGGCTGCCAATATTTTATGCCTAGCTTTATGCAAATTATTTTGTTCAACACAAACACAGACAGTTTGACAATTACACATATACACATTTCTACTGATTGTGTTTTTTTCAGTAGATATAATTGTTGTCAAGCTTCCTCTTGGACAAAGAAAATCACATACACACTGTTGCTTAGTTTCTTCTTTTTTTTTTTCTCTCCGTCCTTGAGAACTTGGGATATCAATGGCTTGTATGTTTATCTTATCCACTCAACGATATACCCTTGTTGTAACTGACGCTGCTCACAGGTAATACATTTTGATCTTCCCAATAATTCAGAGATATTTGTTCATCGATCGGGGCGAACAGGTCGAGCAGGGAAGAAAGGAACTGCTATCCTTATTTATACTCAGGATCAATCCAGGGCTGTCAAGATTATTGAGCGTGATGTTGGCAGCAGATTTTCTGAGGTGATCTGTTTGCATCCTTTTCATTTCTATTCTTTCAATCTTGTTTACTCGGAAGTTGTTTGTAGTTCATTATTCTTTTTTGGTCTGCCAAAATTTAAGCTAGATGACTGCATTTGTTTTCCCCCTTCTTTTGGGAGGGGGTTGACTTTATTGAAATATACGCCACATGAGTGCTGCAGGAAAGAAATGAGGTTTTGAGGAGGTAGACTAGACTATCCACTTTAGAATTTGAACCCAAGACCTTCAAGTTAGAGTATTTGGAGTTTAGCCTTGAGGCTGCACCCTTGTGGACATTCCCCGTTTAAGTTGGAAGACATTATTTAATTTGTGATTAAGGTTTTCTCTAAAATTATGTGCCAATTACAAAGTCTTGATGAAATAGAGTTGCTGAAAATCTGATCTATTCAAAGTTCTTGATGTATTGATAATTTGGTTGGTGAGAACTTTCTCAGCTTTTAAAATTTGAGAGGTAAAAGTTTTATGGGTTATGTACAAGGGCTTGCCTTAAAATCTGTCATGAGATATTTGGGAATGTTAACTCTGCGGGTGTTATAGAAATGATTACTTAGGATTGGTTGTGAATAGAGTAATGTGTGAAGGCTGAATATCATATAACCTCTACTTAATACCCAGCAAGTGGGAGCTGCATCTTTCATTCTAATGAATTTAACTATCAGGCAGTAGAAACAGTGGGGAAATGATAATTAACGAACAAGTATTGGTTGCATGCAAGCATTGACTCAAGTGACATTTTCTCTAGACATAAGAGCTGGGGATTTCGATGTATGTGGGATCAATCCTACCCCATCCCTTTCCCACTTGTTACTAGGCCTTGTGCCTCCCTTGTGATCTGAAACAATAAGGTATATTAGTATGGTTATAAGATGGTTAAAATTTTAAGTAATGAGTATGTTTTGAAATTTAATTTATTGAATTTGGATTAGCAGTCGATTTGAGCTTTTTGTTAAACACTTTTGTTTGTGCATGTAAAACTGTTGTGCTATCAACAGTTTGTTTCTTCTATGCCTCCCCTTAGTCACATTTTAATTATGTATTTTTATTAACTTTTGTTTCTTATTCTAATATCCTTGTTCATTAGCTACCGAGAATTACTGCTCAAGGTGAATCAGTAGGCATGTTTAATAGCACGGGTGGGGGTCGATTTAGCAATTTTGGAGGCATGCAGGATCGTAGATTTGGTGATTCAGGTTTTGGCAGCCGTGGTCCTGGTTTAGGCCGCTCCAGCTTTGGTAATTCTGATGATAGGGGAAGGTTTGGTGGACCTAATTCTGGTCGTTTCAGCAGCCCTGGATCAAGAAGTGGGTTTGGGGGATCCTTTGGTAATTCTTCGGGCAATGGACCAAGCTCTGGACGTTTTGGCTCCTTTGGTGGCTTTGGCTCTGGACCATCAGACAGTGGCTTTGGCAAATCTAGTGTAGACCGAGCAGGAAACACGGGAGGATTTGGGTTTAGTCGTCGAAGCGGCAGCAGTGGATTTGGTGGTTCAGATCGTTCTGGTGGTTTTGGCTCAGGTCAATCTAGTGCATTTGGTGCCAGAGATTCAAACCAAAGGAATGCCTTTGGTGACTCTCGAGGTAGTGATGGTTTTGGTGCTTTTGGGAATGAGCAGAATAATGATCAAAGCAGTGGGAGAAGGCCATTCTGATTTTATGGTAAGTGTCCGTCTGCAGATCCTAGTGTTGGCCTCTTGCAGAGTTTAATTGCTGTCATTTACTCTGACATTTGATGCATGTAGGCTTTATCCCTACATTATTACAAAGGATGAATGAGATTATGGCATAGCGATCACTGTTTACACCTATACTTATTTAGGCAGGGAGCTTTCATCTACAAGTTCCAGCAAGCCTCTCTAGATTTGTTTGGCTCCTTGTCTTTCTTTTCTCGCAGTTTACTGCATGAAGTACCTCTTAAGTTTAATTGGAAGTTTTGAAGAGGCAACTTCAAATGGGGCATAGTAATTCGACTTAAATTCCTTCTAGCAGTTGATGGGAGCAGATTAAAATATATACGAAAGGGTAGGGTGCTCTTCTGTTTATACTTAACTTCTACTATATAGTAGAAAACTATCATGGGCTTGCTAATTGAATGGTAATAGTAATACTATCATCATTAATTTGTTTATCTTTACCCTCGTTTATCCTGGTGCTTTTTTGGTGGTTCGTGAAATGATTAACTGAATTTAATGTTACTGAGTTTATGTAATAACGTCAGCAAGTCGATTTTATGTAATAAATTGAGGATCAATTACTTTTTCGGCTTCTTGTATACAGAAGATTGTAATCACTTGAATCAGGACTGTTTTTGCTGGGATTGATGTTATATAATATAACATCCTCTTTCAATGCCCCTGAATTGCTGTGTAGGAATTCTTTTTTCTCTATATAAATTGAGAGAGCGAATGACGAGAAGCTTCTTTTCTCTCTATTTTCCCCCTCTATAATTTACTGAGAAACTTGGCGTTTTTGTTGGGGGGGGGGGATTACTATAGTTAAAAATTGATTGCACTCATTTTTGGTCTTGGCTTAAATAATTTCTTTTGCTGGAGGTGTTTCTGCTACATTTTCCTTACTGTTCGCTATTTACGACTGTTATCTATAGTAGTTAGGGTATTAGCTTTTATATTACAAAAATGGTTTCCCGCTTCAAGGCTGCTTTTGGTGTTCTTGATGTGGATTATTTGGTTGTGGATTCCTTGGACTCATTTATTTTTCATAAATTTCAAATTTTAATAATTTTATAAAACATTAAATCTTAACTATTGGGAGGGGAAGTTTCACCTTTTGTTTTTCTTAGAATAGAGGGGATGTCCTCTTTTTTTGGATGATAAATACAAGCCCAGCTTAATAGCTGAGCAAATTATGACAATCCACTAAAAGCAAACTAGCTAACTCGGGATGGATTCATAATTCGATACAAACCTTGCTGACCATGAAAAATCTCTTATGCAAAGATTGTTTATGTGCCCATTTGAATTTTAGTTGGATATATAGATTATAAAAATAATTAATTAAATAATATATTTTAATATAACTGATTATATTATAATGCAATTTATTTAAATGTTATTTTTTTAAAATTAATTCTAATAGAATTAAAGATATTTAGATAATTTAATTAGAATTAATTTTAATTATATAAATTATTATATAATTTAATTTTTAAATATTAAATATTAAATTTTTTGAAAATATAAAGTTTGAATTTTAAGAAAAAAAAAAGAGAAGCGAAGAGAGTTTAATTTTATTTTTTTTAAATTATATTTTTTTTTGTAATTTTTTTTGAGCTTTTTTTTATAATTTTTTTCAATGTTTTTGATTAGGTTTTTCACAAACGCTCGGTTTCTCAGTTTTCAAAAAAATTAATTTTAACCCAAAAATCAATTAATCTATTTTATGAGTGTTTGAATAATTTTCATTTTTAATCGATTTTCTTCAAATAATCGGTTAAAAACGTTATTCAAACACACTATCGCATTGCCTCTGCAATTGATGTGTCTCATAAGCATGTCCCAATCTCACCTTAACAAGCACTGGATCTCATTTTGTGAATTTGAATTTCATCCTTCCTAATTCCACTTTGTACTCTCTAGGCAATATTCACCTTGTGTTAAGACAAATCCATCCCAAAATTGCACACAAAATAAGCTTTCATGAGGCTAAATCAGATTAATTGAACTCCATAAGATTTGTAACTTACGGCTCATCTCACTCTTTTTCTGGCATTAAACTCTTGAACTGTATTCGCATTCTGTTTCCAACTCCTCACCAACTTGCTACCTTTTATAGGCCTTCTGCCCTTTTTTGTTCTGATGAATGAATTTCTTTTGACCCAAAAAAAAAAAAAAAACTTAACTACCTCTAATGCAGGTTTGAGACCAACTTGTTAGGCAAAAAGCATAATCTACTAACAAAATTTCTGCCATACTGTGTAATAATCAAAGAAAAAAAGTTGCCCCCAACACTGAAAGAAACAATATAGCACGGTTCTAGCACAGCATATTTGAAAGGTGTTTGGTTCAACTAATCTAAGTTTAACCAACTTATCTTGGAGTAAATTCTAAAACATGCAGTTATGTTAAATAAAAATATTAAAGACATCTTCAAAGTATTAGTGAGACTGCCATTGTGATTTCGGATTGTTGTAGATTGGTGGTGGTAATACATTTCCCAAGATACTGGGAAGAGGAAATCAAAAAATGCACAACAAAGCCATAATGAGACTCGAACCTGCTTACTCCATTACAAAGAAGTATTTACATCATATATAATGTTTAAGTTAACTAAAAATAATAGGAAGGAAGGAGTGTGTGGAAGGATGAAAGCGGGCCTGACAAGTGCAAGGAAACTACTCAAGGCACATAAACTATATGTAAAGCCAGTTTATTTCAGCGTAAATTTGACAATGTTAACCACATTAATCAACAATATTGAGTACCTTACATCACCTTTTTTTTTTTTTCTTTTCTCTTAACCATCATTCCATCCATTCAGCTTCCGCATATTTCTTTGTGATATTCTTTCATGAAAGAATTCCATGCCAGCCACGCTGCCCCAACTGCAGGCTCAACCTGATGTTGCACAGGAAATTAAAAGGGCGCATGTGAGAATGGGAGAGATTACTATAAAGGTTTATAAAGTATCTCTATAAGAGCACTTAAATACCGCAAATTTGTCTTTGTTTTATAAACATTTGTGTCCAATTGAAATTGTAAAGAATATTGCTGACGACACTACTGAGGTCAGTGAGCCTGTCACAATAAAAGGGTGATCTGATAAAGTGCGAGTGAAAGGAAATTACTTAATTAGAAAGAAATGGTTATAGGCAGCTATTGTCCAAAGATACCAAAGCGCTGAATATAATGCATTGAGTTGAATGCGGAGAAATGAAGAAAACGAAGTTTCTTGGCCTTGTGTCAAATTTAGTGTGCAAAGTGTGCATGAGTTGAATCTCCAAGTTGCATTCTTTTTACCCAACAATATCAGGATGGTTCTTTTGCCATGACATTCTAGACATCACAAAAATGCTACCCATGATTTCCAATTTCCTGCTTGATCAGCTTTATTGTGTGTGATTTTTTAACACTCGTTTGCAAATTGCAGCCAGAAAGGAGTATGGTGAATTATACAACTTAGCTGGAAATAAGATCTGATTTTCATGCAACTCTTTCTCACTATGTTTACCCACCACGTGTTTTTTCGTTGGTGCATCAATCAAGATAAACAACAAAATATAGAATATTAAGCTGACCTGAGGCCTAATGGGCTGGACACCGGGAAAGTGTTTAGAGATGTGGTTTGTGACTTCTTTTCCTATATCCCACCGCCTGTTTGCTTCAAGAACACCACCAACCATAACAAGGGGAAAAGTACCCTTTCCATCTGAAAAAAAAAAAGAAAGAAAAAGGAAAATGAAACTATCAGCCATAAATTATCATTGCTACTTCAACATTAAAAATCATGCACAATACTCCAAACAGAGATCTAGGCCTAGGTAAGATTATTCAAATTTTATAACCAACTATAATTAACTTCAGCACCGACACAACACAGGCTAGCAATTGTGTCCTGAAGAGAACTAACTGCTGCTATGTGTATGTAATAAAATCAATTGAACTATCGGTTAAACCTTTCAAGGTCTAGGCAAAATATCCGTTTTAGATTCAATAAGATAGTTTTCTAGTCAGAAAGTGACACAATTTTGGAGAGCTTACTGGTTACTAGTAAGAATCTTCATGAAATATAAAGAGTGAAGGGTTATTTTTGTCCTTCAACTGTAGGCAAAAGGTCACTGGGAACCCTAAACTCAACTGTAGGTCAACTATGTCCCTCAACTTTTAAAATCTGAATCTCCATGCCCCACATCAATGTGGCTAAAATATTTGTTAGTGGACCCCACTTTTTGCTTAACCTAGCTTTTTTTAATAATAAAATATAATGGTGGGGCCCACTTTTATATTTTATTATTTTATTTTTTAACACCTCACCCCCTCTCTCTCACTTCATCTCCCATCTCCATTGTCCATCTCATCTCCCCCCCTCTCTCCCCCTCGACTTTTGAGGAATCATGTTGAATCGAACCCATGACATAAAGTCAAGCTAATGCACGCCCTAACGAAGTAACTAGCAAGCCATGATTTCAAAAGGTTCTATCCTTGACTTCTCATCAAAACTTTAGGGGCCTCACCAGCAATCTATGAGCGATTCCATTGCCTTCCTCAACAGACGCCCCTTAAGGAATGTTAGAACTCGATTGGTGGCGTTGGAGCCCATCTTGGGTTTGATAGGCTTGATGATGGCCAACTCATGTTGATGTTCTCTGATGACAATGGCTTGGTTTATAGCCGTCGTCATCTACCACTACACCAAACCCATCCACGCTGTTCGATGACCAGAATAACAATCACGAGGAGAAGCTTATGGTACTTGACAATGGCATCCCAGTATAGGATTGAGCATGGCAGGTGGCGCGGGTAGCTAAGGAATCAAGGAGGGTTCTGAGGTTGAAGTGGAAGGTGCTGTTTTGAGCAAAGGTTTCGGTGCTTATGCAGTGTTCATGAAGGAAAGTGGGGGCTTCAATTGCTTTAGAGGTGGGAGAACAAAGGAAGCAAAGAAACATGAGGAGAATGAGGTTGAAGACGAGGAAGAGAGAGAGGAAGGGAGAAGGGAGAGGACAAAGGGAGGGAGAGAGAAAATGGAGGAGAGAGAGGTCTCAGCTCGTTGGAAATATTACTGGCTTGCCTCATCTGTTTGGCCCAACTTTTTGGGGTGCAAAATGCGATGAGCAAGCCCTTTGAGGTTAAGCGTTTGCCAAGTCTACAAAGAGGGTTGATATGGCCTTGGCTAGAGAAGGAAACCGGATAAATGTGTACAGTAGAAGCCATGGCTGGAGTAGTGTGTGCGTGAGCGGGGAGAGGGGGAGAGAGAGAAGTGATGTGGAGGAAAAGAGAGATTGGTCAAAAAAAAAAAGGTGGGACCCATTACCGGCAAAAAAAGGAGATTTAACCTTAAGGGCACGGAGATTTAGATTTTAAAAGGTGAAGGATAGAATTGACCTACAGTTAAATTTAGGATCCTTAGTGATCTTTTGTATACAATTGAAGAGCAAAAATGACTCTTAACCCA